TATAATAGGAAATAAGAATAAGAGAAAATAGATTTTTATTTTTAAAAAGTGAAAATTTCATTCAACACATATATGTACACACACACATATATTTTTAACCAATAGACAGTGAGAGGAAAATTACCCAATATGTTGGATGTACTCAATGCTTCACATACATGGGAGAATATCGGGGCAGCTAGGTGGTGCAGTGGATAGAGCACCGGCCCTGAAGTCAGGAACACCTGAGTTCAAATTCGACTTCAGACCAAACACTTGACACTAGCTGTGTGACCCTGGACAAGTCGCTTAACCCCAATTGCCTAAAAACAAAACAAAACAAAACAATACATGGGAGAAACTTAAACAGATTGGCCAGGCATGGATGGACAGTGACCTCTATCTTTCCAGGGAGAACCTTCAACAATAAGATGACAAATGTACTGGAGTACTTCAGAAATATTAAAATACATCTAGGAATTCACTGATGATGGGATTTAATTATTCTGATCAGAAATTTCGAAATGATTAATTATTGATACAAGACATTGTTTCATTATTATTGTACTAAAGAAGGTGACAAAGTAGCCAGAGTTCATGAATATCTAACCATTTTCTAGAGAAGTGAATAAAAATTCCTCATGCGCTTTCTTAAGTCTTAGCTCACATTTCTATATCAAATTATGATTTACAAAATGATTTACTAATTATTTACAAAAGAAGCATAGTTTATGCAGGTGTTATTATTTCCATTCTATAGAGAAGGAAACTGGGATTTATAGAGAAGGAAGGTTTATAGAGAAAGTCCACTGAGAGTAAGAGTCCTATTTATGCGTAGTCATGTATTAATAAATGGCAGCCCTGGGACTTAAATATTTTTTCTGCCAACATCATACTAGTTTTTACTGTTAAGATACTGGCAATCTGTTCCTTGACATTTCATTATAAATGAAACACCATGACATTTTTTTAATGAAATGCTAGAAATATATAGACATGCATTTTTTCCCTATTCAAATGAAAAAATCTTAAGTTCTAAAATCAGTAAATGTCTTCATGTGATCTTTGTTGTCCTTTGAAATCCTCTATTAAAAATCATTCATACAAACTTGCAAAGTAGAGAAACTCATTTTTTAAAAAGTCGTATTCTGTACTTAACTTTTTACCTCAGATCTAATTTTTTAGAAATATTTTTCTGAAGTTTAATAGGTTTGTCGGTGTTGGTGGTTTTTATAGAGTTATAGAACCTTGGAATGAATGTTTAAATGGAGAGCCAAAAGGTAAATTCTAGAGTGTCTAATCCAACTACCTCATCTTAAAGACAAAGAAACTGAGTCCCAGAGAAAGGAAGTTACTGACTAAAGGTCACATTTATTTGTTTTAATTTCCTTTGGATAATGTAGAAACTTACAAGAACAGAAGAGGTGAATATCACAGTAATACTGCAGCTTCCACAAGCTAATATTTGCAAATATCATTGCAATATACAACATACATTGAAAGGCAAATGTTGACCCTGGGCAAAATTATGAAATTTGGTTTCCATATTCTCCATGTGTACTTTAAAATGCTACAATTGCCCTTAAGTTGTCACCTGGAATATGTAAAAGGACCTTCCTGTACCCCACATAGGCCTTGTCTCCCTAGACCTTCTCTCTCTATAGGGCCCAAGTATGGCTTCCAAATTCCATTCCACTCCCACTATCACAACTTAAAAATTATACATCTTGTCTCTTTCTCCTTCTCTCAAGTGCCTGATTTCTGTTAGGTGACTATGAAATTATCATTTATTATTGTTGTTGTTGTTGTTACTAATAATAGAATTTATTTACATAACGCTTTATGGTTTATAAAAAACACTCAATATTTATGTCATTTGATTCGGCAAACAACCCTGTGAGGCAGAAGTCATTATGACTTCTGTTTTTATTGAGGAGAGAACTGAGAGCCAGAGACGTTTACCTAAGGTCAAGCTTGTCAATATCTGAGGGGACGTTTGAGCCCAGGCTTCTGAGTTCAAATTTAGTAGCTTATGTAGAGTGCCTCTCATCTGCTCATTTCTGTCCAAGGTAATAGATGTGCATTTCCTCGGAGCTATCTGAAAATAATATCTTAGACCAAAGACATAATTTCAATGGTAAATATTTCACAATAAAGAAAAGACAAAAGAGGGATCTGTTTTTGTGTCCTTAAAGTAAGGCTTGTAGGGTTTTGTTTGTTTGTTTCCAGAAAGGAAAAGAAAGGAGAGGAGAGGAAAGGGGAGGGGAGGGGAGAAGAAGGGTGAAAGGGGGAGGGGTGAAAAGGAGATAGAAAAGAAGGAGAGGGGGAGGAGAGGGGAGAAAGAAGGAAGGAAGGAAAGAAAGAATAAAGGAAGGAAGGAAAGGAGGGAAGGACAGATCGAAGATGGGAGGAAGGGAAAGAAATAAGCATTTATTAAGCATCTACAGTATACCAGGCGCTGTACTAATCACTTTTACAAGTATCATCTCATTTAATTCTCAGAGCAACTCTGGGAGTTAAGTACTATTATTATCTTTATTTTACTTTGGAGTAAGCTGAGGCAGATAACAGTTAGTGATCTGCCCAGATTCACACAGCTGATGAATATCTGAGGCCACATTTGAATTCAGGTCTTTCTGACTCTAGGCCCAGTGCTTTTTTCCACAGCATCACCCTAAATGACTCTAGAATATAGTTAGCCTTGTTATAAAATAGCATAAGATTCTATTAAGGCAGCATGTTATAGTAAAATAGCAGTGGGCTGAGAATTAGGAAAACTTTTGTTCTTATCTCTGCTATGCTGCTGAATGACCTCGGACAATCATCAGATTATAGCGGCAGCTAGATGTTACAGTGTCTTGAACTTTGGATGCGGAGTCAGGAAGACCTGGGTTCAAATCCAGCCTCATACATTTAATGGATGTGTGATCATAAGCAAGTCACAATCTCTGCTTGCCGTAGATTCTGTAAAATGGGGATAATAATAGTATCTGCCTCCCAGAGTTGTCATGAGAACTACACAAGATAATGTTTGTAAAGAACTTTGCAAACCTTGAAGTGTTACATAAATGCTAGTTATGACTACAATGACGATGATGGATAATGATGATGATGATGATGGAGACATCTCTGGGCTTGCAGCAAGGATGACCTGGGTTAGAAGACCATCTAATTATGTAATTCTGAACATGTCACTTACCCCATCCGAGACTTATTTTCCTCAACTATAAAATGAGGAAAATAATGCTGGTTTTATGGTCCTCATAGGGTTGTGAGGAGCATCAGAGAAGATAGCGTCTGTGAAACATTGGGCAAATTTGAAAACATTGTAGAATCATCCCCTCAGATATCGAGAAGTATGACCTTAGTGTTCCTTTGGATTGTTTCCATTAACTATAAACTAAAAGGGTCACCAGCATGACACAGTACAAGGAGTAGTGGATTTGAAGTCAGAAGAGCTGCATTAATACGTGGTTCTGTCCCCTACAATCCATCTGACTTCTTAGGCCTCCTCTGTAAAATGAAAGGTTGAATTAGATCATTTCTAATATTCTTTCCACCTCTAAACCTGTGATCCTATGAATTATAATTCAATGACCTCAGGCCCCATTCTTGATCTGAAATGCTATGATTCTAAGTAATAAAAATCCAGTAATTGAATGGATAAAGTTATAGCAAATATTTTACTTTTTTACGAGAGGGAGGATGGTGTAGTGGAAAGAGAACTGAACTCACCTCTAACACTAGTTATGTGACCATAAGTACAACACTCGACCTTTTGTTGTTGTTGTTTTGATTTCCTTACCTGTCAAATAGGGCTAATTATCCTTAGTCCTTATTAATATGAACATGACCTTACTATAAGTTTGGGATTTGGGGAAGTGATGGCTCAGTTACCCTATCTAAGAAGAGATCAGTCATTTACAAAACAAAATGATTTTGCATTTGGACATTGCCACAGTAACACATTTCTGTGTATCCTAAGCAACTGTGGGAACTGTGAGTATGTACCAAAGACCTAGAACACTATATTAGGACTAGAGGCATTTATTTTAGTGAATATATTGCACATTATACATGTCAGATTCTACATTGTATAGACACAAGAAGACCTAATGTAGTTCTGCCAAAGGAGGAAAGAAAAAAAAATCTTCCCAATATCTATTTTCATGTCAATTATACAGGTTTGAGAACTTGAAGGTAAGTTATAATGCTGTGTTTCACTGAGATCATACTACCTTGACTAATCACATTTTAAAGTTTCATGGGTCTAGAAAGAATCACAAAGTTCCACAAAGTATGGCCTTGGCCTTGATCCCTTAATCACTGGTAGGATCTCATATATGTTATTAAGGTTAAACACTAGATTGCAGGACAGCTAATGGTACACTGGATACAGTGCTGAGTCTGGAATCAGGAAAACTCATCTGCTTGAGTTCAAATCTGGCCTCAAACACTTACTAGCTGTGTGACTCTAGGTGAGTGACAATCCTTTTTGTCTCAGTTTCCTCATCTGTAAATTGAGCTGGAGAAGGAAATGGCAAAACCACTCAAGTATCTTCGCCAAGGAAACACCAAATGGGGTCAGAAAGAGTAAGGAATGACTGAAACAACTCATCAACAATAAAAAAGATCACAGAATGTTAAAGTTGGAATTCACCTAAGATGTTACCAACTTTAACCCATTTCTTTTCCAAATAAGGAAAGTGAGGTTTAGAACGATTTTGTTGACTGTCTTGAGGTCACACCAGTAGTTAGTGAAGGAGCTGGAACTAAAACAAAGGTCTTGACTCCATTTCTAGTGCTCTTAACACTACATAATGTTGGATTCCATAGAAGCAGCAATTCTGATTGCTTCTTAACCTAGACTCAGTAAAGATATAGAAAAATCATGAAAACTTTAGGTAAAAATGCTTCCAATTATCTTACCACTCATCTCATCCTCTCTCTCTCTCTCTCTCTCTCTCTCTCTCTCTCTCTCTCTCTCTCTCTCTCTCTCTCCTCTCTCTCTCTCCCCATAGGATTGTCTGACACATAGTCATTCCACAATATGCATCCAATATACAGATCCTTATGAAAGGTAAGATTCTACCATAGGGGAAAGGTCCATTTGCTGCCTAAGATTAATATCTTTCAGTTATTGGAAGTATCTTCACTTTGGAACCTTGCCTTAGAAACAGAAAGTTAAAATATGAGTTTTCATGGAACTATGTGTGCTGCCACTGAGTAGGAGGTGGGAGAATAACATAAAATAGTATTTGAAACCATGAAATAGTGATGCTTTTTCCCCAATCCCTCCAATTGGATTTTAGTGGTGAAAGAGATAATATCAATTTGGTAATTTTAAAAAAAATTGTTGCTATACAGAAAGAGAATTTGGAGTTGAGGTGTGATTCAACTCCCCCACCTGATTTTAAAGGACAGGAAATCTTAGCAAAAGTGAGATGAGATTCTCTGCCCCTGCAAGCAAGACTGATGAGGTGAAGAGCTCTCTTGAATCTGCCTAGCTATTCGGAGAAATATGCTGCCCACTGGAAAGACTTGCCCTTTATGGGAACATACACATAGAAAAGGTGGGTCATTTCTAAACATACCGGGAACTATGAGCTGGCTGTTGAAATTATTCTAAGCAAGAAAGGTATTTTATTATCATCGGTGAGATTTATGATATAGGTAAATGGGGTGGTATGATTTTAAGCCTCAATTAGGTTATTGATTATAATGTCTCTGTAATAAATCAGAAAAAAATCCTCATTTAATGTTCACTGACTTCAGATGCTTTATGTGTCACCATTTCTGCATAGAGTAGATCTTTTTAATGAATGTTTAAAGGGGATTATTGTTCCTTAAACAACATCCATTTATTCATAACTGTCCAAGAAACCCAACTTCTTAGACGTCCTAAGTCTAAGTAGAGCAGATCAGATGCTAGAGACAAAGGAGAATTTGCTAATTACATTACAAACTGATAAAAATTGAAAGAGAAATACGAGGAGGCAGATTGGAGGGAGGCCAAATAAGAGAAAGAGATGCAGACTAGACATGGGATTTCAATTGCGTAAGGAACTACCTGGTGAGGGAACCCCATTCACCAATTAATGCTGGCCTCTTCTGTGTAACTTACAGTCTTCGAGGATTTTGTGGACTCTAGGCCCTGGAAAACTGAGGCATGAAATAACTTCTCCAGGGCCCCACAGGCCGGCCTGGGATTAACTATCCATTCTAGTGGAAGAGAGCTGTAGGTGAGCAAAAGTCATGGATTTAATTTGAGGAAGGAAAGGAGAAAGGGGAAATTGGGATTTATACCTTAAATCTCCCCAATGTACCTCTAATTAAAGAGGGAGAGGATAAATGCGTTTCTTAAGTACCTGTTATTTGGCAGGCACTCCACTAAGAGTTTTACAAATGTCTCATTTATGATAAGCGAGACTTGCAGCTATATTTCAAAATCAGAGAATCCTAGTATTTCAGGATTGTAAGGGATCTTAGAGGCCATCTTATCTAACTGATAGCAAAAATAGGATTCCCCCAAAATAAGACACCTGTAAAGAAATAGCCCATTTGTCATTTCAAATCTACTTAGGGTAAAGACACTTATTCCCAAGGCAGTGCATTCCAATTTGGGCAAAAGGTTATGAAGTGTTGCATGGCATTAACCCTTTAGGGTTGATCATATTATATTATATCCTATCATGTCATATTATATATTTTTATATTGTGTTATATATTATTTAGCTTGCATTTATCTTCTGTTCATTTTTCTTTAACTTGCTTCTAATGGTTTTTATTATCCATTATATATTTGGCACAGTAGGTAAAGTGCTGGCACAGAGTCAGGAAGACTTGAGTTTAAATCTGACCTCAGATACTTACTAGTTATATGAACCTGTGAAAGTCACTCTACCTCTGTATGTTTCAGATTCCTCAACTATAAAATGGGAATAATTATAGCACCGCCCTCATAAGATTGTTGGGAGGATCAAATGCAGTATTTGTAAAGCTCTTGGAAGAGTACTGGCACTACATAGTCGTGCCTACTACTACTAGTATGACACAGTAGGCATTTAATAAATGTTTGGCTCCTCTGCCCCCTTAGTTAAAGTGCCAATGCATGGCTTAAGGTAGAATTCCAATTTTCTCTTTCTCCCTTACTTCCTCAAATTAAACTCATGATTTCTGTTTACCTCTAGCTCTCTTCTTCTCCCATTAGAATAGCTAAATAATCCCCAGGATTGATAGCTGAGGGACAAGGGAGTGTATATGACTACTACTGACTGTGGCCTTTACATCATAGGCTGAGCAATAGCTCCAAAGAGTCCAGTACAAATAATGGTGGTGGTCCAGAGATGGGCAGAATAGCTCAATTTCATAGAGCAGAGGGATTTTGAAGCCAGGGTCCCGGGTCCCTATCTGTGTGGGCCATTTAGCTTTTCTTGGTTTCTTGGCCTCATACTATACTTCACATGAGTTCCTTCAAGACAAAAGCTATCCTGTTTCTGTCTTTTCTACTTAATGTGTGTAAAGTGCTTTGTGTAACATATAGCTTGTATATCTTTTAAGTGTCTTTACACTTAACATAACAAAGAACTTGCTAGAGCCTAGAAGAGCCTTAATTGATTCAGTGATTGATGATCCACCAGACGGAAGAAAAAAAATAGGTTAAAATCTCAATATGGCTTAATGTAAAGCTACCACCATTGCGGGGTCAGGGTGGAATCAAAGCGCATTCCTTATAAAAAGTGTTATTTGTATGATCTTCCAAATTTCAAGATCTTTGAAGGCAGAAAGAGGATTTAGGCTTTAATTTCCAACTGTTCTACTTATTACCTCAGTGAATTTGGGGGCACAGAAAGAAATTGATTTCCTTTTGTTTTGCTTCGCAGTCAACAATTTTCAGCTTGGAAAATGTTAATAATAAGTATAATGATAACAGCTAGCATTCATATTGCCCTTTAGAGGCTGCAAATACCTTTGCATTTTTATCATATTTAATATTCAGAACAACCCTGAGAGAAAGGTGCTGTTATATCCATTTTACATTTGGGGAAACTGAAGCAGAGAGAGGTTAAGTGACTTGCCCACAGTCACAGAGCTGGTAACTGCCTGAGGTAGGATTTGAACTCAGGTCTTCCTGAGTCCACATATGGTACTCTATCCACTCTACCACCTAGTGAGATAATAAAATAAGTAAAATGCTGAGGAGAGAAAATATATTCTCTGTTGTCATGATCAGTGTTAGCAGGCCCTTAAAGAAGTCAGTATCTTCACAAGGTCTCATTAGACTCATTACCACCACACTCTCAACATCCTCCGATGCCCTGGTTCTCAGGAGAATCCGATCTGTTAATAATGCTTTGTGCATAAATTTTACCTTCCCTTTACATTTTTTAGTAACTTGGGTGTCCCAAGGCCTGCCTTTCTCTCTCATACTCAGACTCTCATACTCCAAAAGGAGAGAACAGCTGGGCTCTCTTTTCCCACTCCTTAATGGGCTCTATGAGTCCCTTCAGGACTTTTGATATAACCAGGTGAAGGTGGGGAACCTGCAGCCTCGAGGCCATACATGGCCCTCTAAGTCCTCAAGTGTGGCCCTTTGACTGAATCCAAATGTTAATGTAGAAACATGATTTTAGCATTTCCTTTGTTTCTTTTGTCAGCAAATTGGCTCTTTCCAATCCAGTGTAGCAGTACCTGTAATACAAGAGCATCGTTAACATTCCAGAGGATGATACTTGACAGAGAGAATGCATTCCACTGGTTTTCTTCTGCCCCCTTTTTGTCCACAGATGAGGTCTATAATGAAACATTAAACTATTGTAAATGAATTGGTGTTAAAAAACAAGCGATCCATACACAAATTATCATAGGTGGTAAATTCTACATCATCATTAATACTCTATTTGGTAAAAAATAAATCACTTGATTGACCATATGTGAAACAGGATGAAGGATTAAGTATATTGAGTAGATCCCCTTGGCAAACTTAGTATACAAAGAGGTCATGCACTAGGGTGATACAGTATTGGCAGAGAAAGATGAGTTCTCATGGGGATACCTCTACCCATCAGCTCTCAGGGCCACTGGAGTGTCTACATAAACCAGAGGCAACTTGGCCCTGTGGATAAAAGATCAGTTTGGATAATATCTGTGTGGCCCTGGACCATAAAGTAACTTCTCTGTGCTTTTAATAATTCCCTAAGATTTAGTTATTAAATCATACATAATCATGATCTGAAGGTTGAGTTGTGCTTTTCAGTTGGTAGTATGACTTTGCATTTTGTGATTTCACCTAGACTAATGAAATCACAAATCTTTCCGGCAGAAGCAGTTAGGAGGCACAATTAATAGAATTCTGGCCCTGAGGTCAGGAAAGGATATGTTTAAATCCTACATCAGAAACTTACTGGCTCTGGGACCCTCAGCAAGTCATTTACTCTCTCCGGGCCTCAGTTTCCAGTGCTGTAAAATGGGGATAATTTAAGTAACACCTACCTCCCAGGTGTTGTGAAACTTAAATGGTTTAACTTATATAAAGTCCTTTGGAAACCTTACTATAATATGCAAATGTGATCTTTTATTATTCTGTCCATGTAAGTGCCCTAACCTCACCCATATCTATTCATTCTTTGATGATTAAACTGTTTCTTTGGTGATTAAAACTGTATTGGTACAGGCTAAATAGACTGGAGTGTTAAGGCCATTCTGGAGTGAATTAAAACTGCTATTGAGGAAGTAGAGATTTTTTTTTCTTTTTTCCATCTTTTATCTTTGTATACTAAGTTTCAGGCACATAGTGGCTTAATAAATGCCTGTTGGCTGACTTTTGGGGCATTAATTATGCAGATTGATTCTCTGTATAGATCTGCTCTCTGATAATTTTTCAAACGATTGAACTACATTGTTTGGGAAGTCATGAAAGGCGGTGTGGTCCAGTAAAGGGTATTAGGCCAGGAGCCTTGATTGCTACTCCGGGCTCCTTCACTGACTGGTTGTATGACCTTGAGCACCTCACTTTCCCTCACTGGGCCCCAGTGGCCTCATGTAAAAATGAATGGGTTAGACTAGCTCTCACGGAGGTCA